GCTGCTTGCTGGAGGTGGTGACCATCCAGGCAGGTGGAGGCTGGCAGGATGGGGCACTCAGACAGCATTACCTGGAGCCACCGCACTGCTCGTGGCATGTGTATCTCACAGGGGGAGGTGTCAGGCTCAGCAGCTGCCACTCTGCTCCCCACCTGCAGAGCTGGTGCTCCCACAGCTCTGAGACAGGGGGGCCAGTTTGCTGGGGAGACTCTCTCCCAATGAGCAGTGAGGGGTAGGCTCCCTTCAGTGCCCTGCTCCTTCCTGAGTCACTTTGACAGGCAGAAACGTGAAGTGGGATAAAATGATGACAGCTGGGTTGTACTTTGGAAGTGGAAAGGAAAGAGTTGGATCCATTTACAGCTTGGAGTGATGGAGCTTGAAATGCAACCAGTAGCAGTTATTTTACCAGTGTTAGAGTTGAGTCAGAAAGGATGGTTTGGTTGGTATAGTTCAGCTGATTGCTGGATATTTTAATCCAGATGATTTCAGCATGGCTGACAGTTTCATGACTGACGATACTGAAGTAATTCTACTACTTTCAGCAAAGTTGCTCAGGATTTATTCTGAGAATGTAGTTGTATTAATTCATTTTTCTGACTTGACAGGCAAAAATCCGGTGTTGCTGTGATCTTCATTTGAAGTGGGATGTCCTTTGAAATAGCCAGGAAAATATTCTTCTTCTCATGTGCACGTGGAATACTTGTTACCTTTACCAGTAGCTGTGTGTATGTGTGGAACCACATATGAATGATGGGCATCAGTAAAAGAGGGAACAGGGTTCTGAACTCTTGTGTTATTCTTAGGCTGGTTTGGTGTAGCTCTTACTTGCAGTGACAATGCAAGTAAGCTTCTGGAGGTTGTAATAACCAAAGATGTTTCTTTTGATTTGATAATGCCACTATAATTCTTTCCAAAATTAGGAGAAACTTGACATTCTAGATCAGCTGGTGACCAAATGGCCAAGCATTTGATGTTCCTGGTAGGTGCTGATAGAGGAACTCTATGTTTCACCCACCAAATGTGGTGGGTTTTCAGTTGTTTTATTTTTTTTTCTGTCTGCTGTTTCTGAAATGTAGAAATTTTTTGCTGTAGTTATATCAATAAATTTACAGAGTACGGGTGGTTTTGTCCATTTTGTGCAGTGTGGGAGGGTTTTTTTATTTGTGGTGTTTTTTTGGTTTTTTGACAGAGTCTTGTGATAGGTAAAAGCTACTTTTTGAGTGGCTGACTCAAAAAGTGTTTGGCTTGAGAAGATAAATTTAGACAAAAAATTGACTTTTAGTTTCAATTAGCTTTTAGTTTCTTTCAATTCCAAAATTTTCATCATAAATATGGAATAGCAGTGGCTTTTTTTTTTATTTGATAGAAAAAAATTATTTCTAAATTTTCTGTTGATCAGAATTAGTTTCATAAATTATTTTGGAAGAATAAAATAATTTCAGATTTTTTTCAGATAGAATAATATAATTTCAGATATAATTCAACTAAATTAGGGTAAAAATGAAAACCAGGTGGTCTGGCCTTTTATTCTAACTCCCTACAGGTAAGTAAATGTAGTGATCCTGGAAAAAGAGTGTTTAGCCAAAGTTGGCTACTATAAGCAAGCTTTTGCTTATTGCTCAGTATCATTAGTGTTTATTAACCCAACTCACTCTGCTGAGATTCAAATTACAATTTTTCTTCCTAATACTTATGTTTTTAATATGAAAATATATTTTAAGACAAAATACCCTTAAAGTAATCTGGAGTAAATTCAGTTCAGCATAGACATTTCTGATACTCTCGAAAAGACTTTTTTTTACCCCAGGCAGGAAAGTTCAGAGTAGTTATGTCATGTTGAGTGTTTTGTGCAAGTTGTAAAAATCTGTGGACTTGATGTAAGCTGACATTGTCCATAATACAGCTTTATTCACTTCTCCTTCTGCTGTGATGAGTCTCCATCAAATCCTCCAATTAGTACAAAGTTATAAAATTATAGACAGATGGAAAATTAGTATTTATAGAAAAATGCCCACGGTTTTGATAGCTTGAAACTCTTGCAGCTACAGATGATGTGTTAGCAGTTGAGATTTAGAGAAAGCAGCCTGTTCAGGAAAACATGAAAGCTTGTGTACTTTCTGAAGCAGTAGGTCATCTAGCGATGACCATAAATTTCAGAGTTAGTTTTCTGTGAATTGAAACCATCTGTGGTAAACAGTTTAAAATTAGTTCGTTTGTATTGGTAAAAAGTAAGTAAATAGATAAATATACAGCAATTATTTTCTCAAATGATCATCAAAATCAAAAAAAGTTTCAAGATCCATTTCTCGTCTCACAATAAATTAAAGTTTTGCAAATGCCACCACCTTGACAGACTTGAATAGTGCACAGATCAAAAAAGTTTTAATGTGAGAAGAGATACCTGTCACTCAGTGGCCCAGAAATACTGCTGGTCTGATGGTCAGGGGCAGTAGTATGGTTTCATTAATATTGGTCTAAGTCCAGGGTAAGTTTCCTAACCTCAGCAGTGTGGTTACTTTGGAAACATAATAATAGTAACAGTAATTTTTCTGATGATTCACACATTTAAATCTAATAATCTTAGAATAACATCTTAGAATGGATCAGCGTTTGATGACAAAGGAAAGAGCTGAATTGGAGCTGGTTTTTTGCTGTCCCTGTATACAGCTGAACTAGCAACAGAGTGCTCTATGAAATTCTGGTTTCCTGGACAGATTTCATTCCTTCCTAAAATTCATAGCTTGAAGTGACCTTCAGGTTTTTCTCTTAGTGACTTTAATGTGTTTTGCTGGTGTGTAGCCAAAATTTTTAGTTTCTAAGTTCTGTTCCTTTCTCAAAAGCAAACCTGGTAGCAGACTTGTTTGTGTGTGTGTGCACACTTATAGCACAGTTGAATTTTAATAAAAAGAAATATCACCACCCTGTTTAGGAGAATATTATTGCTATATGCACAATGACATGTCATTACCTGGAGAAGAACATTCTAAGTTTCTCCTGCACATCCATGTTTGTGTTGAGTCCAAGTTGCTCTACATCTGTGTTGTGAGCTTGGGTACAACCCAGGAAATCTCCACAGAGGGCCTCTGCAGGGCTATGTGCATGCAGGGGGAATCTGAGAAGTTTTGGTGTTTGTGGGGGGAGGAAAAAGGAGGTGCAATATAGAAACTTACAGTGTCTGTAACATTCTATTCCCTGTGTAAGAAGTTTCTCTAGGTATCCCTTGCAGGAAGAAGTTGCAAGATTCTCCCATACTTAAATGACATTTCTACTGTTTTTCATGAAGCCAAAATATTCATGCTACTGATTCTGAATATCCCATGCTATTCTTGCCTTGTATGATATTGTCTTAAACTTCTGTTGCATGATGCCACTACTGTAATTATTGGAACAGGCAAGAAGGATTTTAGTCAAATTTATAATGCTCTGATAGGAGTAAACCTCTCTGCATTCAAGACTAGAGCTACTTTTCTATTTTCTCGCTCCTCCTTTCTCCTCCTTCTTTTCCTCCCTTCTCCTTTCTCTTTTCCTCTCTTCTCCCCTCTTCCTCTTTAAAGAAAGCAATAGTATTTTATTCACCTGGAGAACTAAGGCTGTTTCATATGTGTCTTGAAATTGTTTCACTAATGCTGCTTTTCAGCATCTTAGTCTGCTAAGCCAGACTGCTGCAAATATATAATTCAAAGCTATTTAAAAGCTATGGCATGATGCTTCAGATGTTTTGTAAAGTTTAAAGTAGCAGGCCATTTGCACAAAGCCACCTGTGCATCTCATATCCATTACAAACGGTGAGATCCAGCCCCAGCAGAGGTACTTGTGCTCCTGCACGCCTCGCTGCTTCTGGAATTCCACCCGTGCACTCGCCTCTCTTCTGCAGCTCTGAGAGTCCCACCTGTGGCTCTCTGTTCAGAGCAACCCAGTTTCAGGACTTGTGTCACCAGCACAGCTGCTGCTTCTCCTCCAAGCTGTACATGGAGAAGTGCAAGTGTGCTTTCCTGGCACCTTCAGGAACAGTATGTCAGGGTTACCAAGTAGAGGGGGGAAAGTGTCTGCAATCTGACATCTGAGATCTGCAGGAAAAAGATATTGAAGGCAGAAATGAAGGACAAAAAGGATTTTTCCTTTTTTTAATTTTTTTTCTTTTTTTTTTTATTTTTTTTATTTCAGAGGTGTCAGCAGAAGCAGGTTATATTATGTATTTGTGGAGAAAGGACAATGAGAAGTAAAAACTTCTCAGCAAAAAAGCATGCAGTGACTAAGCCATTGTCTTGTCTGATAAATAAGCAAATATAACCTGGAGGCAAAGCACCGTACACTGGGTCTGGCAACACATACATTGTTGTAAAATGTTTGGGGGATGGCAAGCCAGGTGTTGATTTCTTCATTTATTGCATGTTTTCAAATAGAGGCTGAAAGCAAATTCCTGAGGATTTACTCTTACAAATAAATACTAATCTTTTAGCTTAATACAGGAATAATTTAATAAAACTTAATGTTCCACAATCTATTTGGTTTAGGATGACTGAAGGAAGGGTGCAGCAATTCTGAGGAATACAAAGACATTTTTGAGAGAAGAAAAGCAACAATTTCTTCTATGGGGTTCATGGTGGAAAGCACAAGAATTGATGGGCTTCAGTGCAGCAAGTTGGTCATAAAGAAAAATATTCCATTCATCAGAACAGTGATATATTGGGGGATAAAAAAAGCCTGTGGAAGTTGCAAAAAAAAATTTAGATGTGGTTAACTTTTTCCTTGAAAAAGAAGGATGAACAGGATGACCTTTAAAGTTTCTCCCAGCCTTTTTTCAGGGAGCCTGTAGTGAGTACCGTAGCTGCCAATTTATTCCAAACTTCCTAAATCTTGTTTGGATTATCTTTTACCCCTGCTCAGCCAAAGTCTCTGAACATCATGTAGTAGATCAGTCTAATGCCCTTACATCCAAACAAATTATATTCTACATGTAATTTCAAGGGAAAAGTTACTATCCACCATCTTCTTTTTAGGTCCTCCAGGGAAAAGAGGTAAGCGGGGAAGAAGAGGAGAGACTGGTAAGTTTTTAATTTCATAAGATCTGTTGTCATTTGATGTCTGTTTTTGTGAGGATGCATACCCAGCATGCCTTGATTTTTAGTTGTACTGCATGTGTGTTCTGAAAAAGAAGTCTGAAACTTCTCTGGTAAAAATGTTGTGACCCTTGGCATGTATCTGGTGGCCTTCCAGATATTTCTCTGGTCTTGGGCACCCCTAATTTGCAGGCACACTTCATAATGCTCAACACGGTGCCTATGGTAACAGGTCTGTAAGTGTCAAACCCTTCAGGGGTGTTCTCACACATGCACAAGTTAGAATAACTCCACATAAGTCAGTAGTTGGAATACTGTGTTAGTGTTACATCAGGCCCCTTTGGCTGCAGGAGAACAATTTTATAAGGAAATAAAATTTCTTGTGTCGAGAATGTTGATAATCAGGGACATAATGTGATAAGTAGACTACTCTGTATGAGAGAAGTTGTTTTATAGAAATGAGCAGTTAAGTTCTAACAGAAATAAGAAAAAACATTTGTTGGTTCGTTACCCTGTACCAGGGAGGTTGCTGTTGATAGAAACCTGCTGCTGGTGTGTTGCCTGAAATTTCATTTGAGGCAAAGTTATGAGATGCTGAGCACCTCTTGCTGTTGACATTCAGAGGAATTGAATCAATTACCTTGTGGGATTGAGTTTTTCATCAAGGTGAACTTTCTGGAGGCAATGCAGTAGAAAATGAGCATTTCTATTCTCCTTGGCTGTCTTGTCTAATCTGCCAGCTAGATTAGACAAGCTCTTTCCAACCAACTTGATCTCTGTAAATCTTCTGTAGCCTTTCTTATTTATGTAAATGATAATTTATCTGGCTCTTAAAAACTAGTTGCATATCTTCCTGAATCACAAAACTAAAACCAAGCCTTGCCAAAAGTTGATACAAATCACCTTCGTGTTTCCATTCAGTGCTGTCTTGGTACCTAATTCAGAGAAAGAGGCTATGATACAGAGGGAAATTCTGTGGTTGGAGATTGAATTACAAATGATCCTGGAAATTACTTTGCGGGATGCTCATTGATTCATTTTAAATCTCAAATAAACACATGGTAAACTATTAATAAAGGAAACGGATCTCTCATTTAAAAACAGACCTGCACCTTAAAATGCTGTTTAAGAATGTTTGCCAGAATAAAGAAATTACCTTAGTTGCTGGACAATAAAAGTTGCATTGTTAAAACCAAAAGGCTGTCAGTATTAAAAGCAATCTCAAAGTACAGCTGCTGCTGTTTTATACTCCTTTTGCACTTCACTTTATTCAGAAATTAGAGAGAGGCATAAAAGCTTAATGAAATGCCATTGATTTGGGAGCTGCAGCTGCTCACCTTATATAAGACTGAAATAGTAGATTTGATTTGTGGCCCTTTGATAATGTTTCCAAGAACTGCTACACAAAAGTCTTTGAGGTCTAAATAATTGAAAAAATGTGCAAATATCACTTCACGAAGTGTGACATTTTAATGGGGAGCATTTTATATGTGTGCCTTGAGAGAGGAAGGTGATGAAAATAAAGTTCAGCACTGTCAGGTGGCCACTGAAACCTCTCCTCACAGGCAAAGTTGGAAGTCTGGAAGATGCTGGTACATGTATTCTTGACAAGATGCCCAGGTTAAATGCCAAGGGTACTTTGTGCAATTCCGCAGCCAAGCTCTGATCCAGTGCTCACTGTGTGGTTAACTGAAACTGGTGGTGTGGTTACATGTGTTTTATGTGGAGCCTGACAAAATTAATTGTATCCATGGCTGGTATTTTTGGACTGGCATGAAATTGCATGGAAATAAATGGAGAAGCAACTTTCATAAGCTTGCATGACTGTAATTGAAGATTTGTTAAGGTAAGTGCATGCATTTAGACAGTAGTCATATTTACAAATTTCAGAGCACTACCAAAGCACAAGATTACTTAAGTGGGAGAATGTGTGCCCTGTATTACCAGTGCTGCTCACTCACAATCCCAAGGCCTTGTGCTTGACTGTGTGTGTCTTTCTTCAGTAACTTCGAAAGCTTACGTGTTCTTTTTTCTCTTTTTTTTTACCCTTTTTCCCCCTCTCCCCCACCCCACAGGACCTCCTGTAAGTACAGTGATACATTATTGGTTCTTCCAGAATCAGGCAGAAGTCTGTTAGATCCTTTTAAGTTATCAGCGTGATAAAATGATCATGTATACTCAAGAGGGAATTTTGATATTTATACACACACAGTATCTTGGAGCTGAATAATTTAATCAGAAAGTTCGTTAAGAAAAGAGTCTCTAAACCAATAAAGCTTTATGTTCAGCGCTCCAGATTGCCATTTGGATTCACAACTCCATGTAAGTATGTTATGTTCATTTTGCCTGTGACTTCATAACTGATATTTTACTGAAGTATAAAAATGTGTGAGTATCCTATCTTAAGCCCAGACCTGGCCAGTTTTGCTGGGTAGTAACTTCCTCTGCATTTATCACAAAGTTTTGGGGTACAAGCTCCCTGTTCTTTAGAGGCATGGAGGCTTTCCAGCTCATTTCACTGTAATTGCTACTGAAGCAAATAAATGCTTGTGTAAAATTATTATTAAATAGTGCCATTCCATTTAGTAAGTCGATTGAATCTTGTGCTAATTCTTGCTGTGAGAAAGCACTTTCTCTCTTCTGAGGATTTGAGGTTGTTTTGGTTTTGCTTGGGATTTTTTGGATGTCTTTTGTTTACTTATTTATATATTCCCAGAGTAAGTGAAAAGTCTGTCTTGAAGGACAGGACTAAACATATGTGTCTCAAACCTTTGTATTTGTCATGCCATCCATGTGCATCATAGGATGTAGGAAAGTGACTGTTAAAATAGTATTTCTTTTACAGTTAGAAGGCTTCTATGTTTTTTTCCTTAATAGATGTAATATTTCTACAATATTTTCAAGTCCCTATCATCTGTCTATTCCAGGATACATGCATGTTTAAGAATATTTAATTAATGTGTTGAATTCCTGCTATGACCTAAAGATTTTACTGTAAAATGCATATATTGAATCATGATAGTACTTCCTTTTTAAGACTTTGACCATATGCTCAGCAATTTATAGTGACAAATTCATTTAACAAGCCATTAATGAAAAGCCAGGCTTAAACCATAAAGGTGCTGTTTATTTGAAAGAAACACTGTTTTCCCCGATTTCTTTTGCAGTACTCCTGTGAAACACAAAGAGCAAATATAAATAATGATACAAGCTATTTTCCTGTACCAAGGCAATGTGGCAAGAGTTCACTATATGCCTCATTAAGAATGTCTCTGACTTTAGCTCCCCACTGTTTCAGTATAGGTACATTAAAAAAACCCAAACAAGCAAACAATCCCCCCAAAATAAGTTGTAATCTTGGCAATATTAGCACAAACCTGAAATAAGTTCCAAAATGGAATAATTTTGAGATGTAGTGACTTCAAATTCCAAGTTTCATACTTGAAACCTACCAAACTCCATCTTGCTGACAGGCAGCAATGGTTTAGGTTGTTACAAGGCATAAAAAAGTGTAGTTTCCCTTCCTAATTAATTTATATTTGCATAGACACTGGCTAGGGGAAATTGTTATGAACTTAAGTATTGTTTTCACCTGGGAGACTGTGGTAGTAGTTTTCATTTAAAATATCTAATATTTGCATATCCCTCATTAAACTGGAGAATTAGGTGTATGTTGTACTTCCAAAGGCTGCCACAGCTGCTCTGTTTATTTTCCTTGTACATGACTACTGAGTGGCACATGTAATAGCAGTCAGAGGCTGGGGATTTTGAATATTTTTATTATCTTTTACAGCAATCTCAGATTTCTTCTTTGCCATCTATGTTCTAGTGGAAAGTGGAATCTAATACGTTATTGCCTAAGCACTAAACCTTTTTTTTTTTTTTTAATTAACTACATATTGCCCATCAGTTTACATGGATAATTCTCTTCAAAAAAAACCCAGAATTTCACTGGGCATCAGAAGTAGCCAGTAGCTTTTTAAGCAGAGGGTTTATATAAGTTGAAACACATAATTTCCATTGCCAAAGCCTCGTTTCTTCACTGTGTAGTACCTGACTCATATTTCTTGGTTTGAAATATCATCACATGCAAAAAAGTCAAGCAATACAGAAATTATACTTTCCTAGTAATGTACTCTGCATGTTTGTTATGTCATATGTCATGACTGTGTTGTTAATGTGTCATACCATTTCATCTCATTCAACCAGGGTCCACCAGGGCGAAATGGCTATCCGGTAACTCATCATATTATTATGATAGCAATTTATGGTTACTCTGAAATCCTGTTGGTATATTTTGGTTTCTCTTTATTACTGTCAAAAGGACCCTTATTTATTTTTTTTTTGTTTGTTTCTCAGATGTATGGAAAATGCAGGATTTCCCTTTAAACACAAAGCAAAAGAGACTGTGACAAGTTTCCAAAAAGAACCAGACTATTTACAATGCATAAATGAGATGCACTGATTGTTTGATGTTGTACATATTTTGTATTGAGTTTCTTTGTTCTTGCATACAAAATTCATAATTAATTAAAAAACTTGCTAAGATACTGCATCTCAATTTTCTGTACTAGAAAACTGTAGTGTTGCCATATGGAATCTCTGAGTCCTTATGGAACCTCTGAATCCTTTCTTTTAATTCTCTCCTGTTTCACTTGACTGCGTTGTTCAATGCATTTTGAGCAAGGTAAAGTGTTATGACAGGGGTCCTAGCAATTGGCTGCAGTGACTATCACAGAGTAATTTTTGATAATGGGTACAATTCATTTTTCTGTCAGTTTCATTCATATCTTTAGGATTTATTGCCTGAAATATATATATATATATGAAATAATGCATCTTTCTAAAATCTATTAATAATACATTTTGTTTGAGTAGTCAGGCAAACTGTTTGCAGTGTCCCATTCATTGAAAGAAGTATATGCCTGCTGTCATGTGGGTATTAGAAACCAAGTGAGGAAATGTGATAATATATGTGCACAGTATAGTGACTGTTGAAGTATAGTAATGATCTTTTTTATCATACTTGATAGTGTATCTTAAAGGGCCCTCCCAGATTGATTTGCCTATGTTTTTCAGACAAAATACATGTAATTTTTCAGTGTGTTTTAAAACTGTTTCCATTGGTAAAATATAAATTGTATGCCTCGATCACATGCAATTAGAGGAGAATTTTGTAGAATCACAGACTCTCAAAATGGTTTGGGTGAGAAAGGAAATTATTGGATCATTTCGCTCCAGTCGCTCTGCCATGCGCAGGGACACCTTCCACTAGACCAGATTGCTCAAACCCATCCAGCCTGGCCTTGAACACTTAGAGGGATTGAGAACACCTATAGGGCTGAGTCATCCATAGCTTCTCTGGACAATCTGTTCCAGTATTCCACCACTTTCATAATTTAAAAGTTTATTCTTATATCCAATATAAACTTTCTTTTAGTTTAAAGTCATTACACCTTGTTCTGTCACTACAGACCTTGGTAAAAAAATGTATATTTCTCCACACCTTTTTTCAGGGCTCCTTTCAGTATTGAAAGCTGCAGTAAAATCTTTCTGGAGCCTTTTCTGAGCAACCCCAACTTTCTCAGCCTGTCTACGTAGAAGAGCTGCTCCATCCCTTTCATCATCTCTGTGGTCCCCTGGACTTGCTTCAATAGGTCCATGTGTTTTCTGACACTGTAGGCCCCAGAGGTGGACACAGTAGTCCAGATGGGGTCTCACAAAAGTGGAGCAGAGAGGGAAAATAACCTCCCTTGACCTGCTGACAACACTTCATTTGATGCCGTCTATTCCAATGCTTTTACCTGGACAGACTCTGGAATTCCAGAGTGGTGTCACCCATGGATCATCATCCAGTGTCCATCTTTACAATTACAAGTAGTTGGAAGTCAGCTGGTGAGGAGCTGATCATCAGTATCAAGAAACCTGCTTGGATGTACTAAAACCATTATCAGGTTTCCGAGTTCACATTCCAATTTCTCTTAGAGTGATTGATCTGTCTAGATGAGTAGAAGTTGTTTTCTTGAAGAGATTTGTTGTGGGATCTGAAAACAATGAAGGTACTTCAGAGCCACGGTATTGAAATTGCTGTGTCTAATGGTGTTGTTATGGGCAAACTTAGTCTGAATGCATCTCTCCTCATGTGTGATGTGAGCTGTCAGTAGTGCTTAGCACTTCACTGAGTGCTGCTTCTTCCTGCTTGAAAATGACTGGGTATAAAATTTGGCTTTGCTTTCTGAAAGTTGTTGTGTGGCTGAATGTTTCAATCTTTTCAGTCACAGTCATACCCTCCTGTTTTGAATGGGAAATATGTAACTGCAAGTGCCATGTACTTTAGGAGTACTTTTACAGCCCTGTAGAGGTCTATTAGAAGGCTATTAGTGTTCTAAGTTATTTCTCCAGAGTCTTATTTAGCTCCTGTAGAAGCCTTTTTGCTTAAATCTGTATTGGATTTTATGGGATAGTCTGTGAGGATAGTGAGGTGTATCTGCCACATGTAACCTAAACTTGGTGTAGCTCTCACAAAAGCAAGTGGCTGCTTTCTCCAAGGCTTACATTTTCCTTGAATGTGTTCATTCTAGTTCTTAAAGCTATTTCAGAATAATTAAAACAGTGGAAGGAATTGCAGTCAGAAATCTAAGTTCCCAGGGAGATACAGCATCAAAAATCAATAAAATAAGGGGTTTACTGCTAATGAGTAACACAGTTATTAAGGGGTTTATAAAACCACAATTAACTGGTTATTATTTAAGGCACTAGTAATACTAAAGAAGTGTACACTGGTACAACTCCTTTTTTTTCCTCATAACAAGTTCTGTATAACAGACAGTGACCAAATTCAGAGTTGTGACTCTTTCAGCTTGAGTTTAAAATTAAAATAGCCCATCACATCTACTCAAATAAAAGAGGAAAAGGAGTGCACAAACATTGGAGAATGAGACGACAGGCAGCTTTTGCAGGCATTTTGTATGACAGTGTTGCTTTGTAAATAGTGCTAGAACTTGGAAAAAAGTACACACACACACACACACATCCCCTAAAGAAAACCCACACCAAACCCTCTACCCCAAAATTACCAAGCCACTAAAAAAAAAATGATCTTGTGAATGCAGTGAGGAGACCAAATAAACTGTGGGGTTTTGTACATTTCTAGGTTGAATAGGTAGCAGATTTTTACTGTTTTCCATTGAAAAATTGAAGCAAACAGAATTTTTTTCCCTACCATTTTTCCCAAGCTGGGCAAGATCAAGCTCAATATCCAAGCAAACCATCCTGGAAGTTGCCATGTGTGTGGTGGTAAAGCTTCAGAAGTGGTGGTAAAGCTTTCACTTCTTCAGAATTAAGTTTTAGAATATGGAAATACCCACAGAGCATTTCTCCATAAACAGAGAAATGTGGAAATTTCATCTTCATTTCTCTATGACAGTCAGTCTGTAGAGCACTCTATACATTTACAAAACTTTCAGGAGCCATGGAGGGTCATGACTGCTCCAGGTGACTGCTCAAGGCACCATGTGCCTTGATTACATCCCATTTCTTCTAACATCCTTGTTTCATCTACAAGAAATATAGACAGATTCCTCTCCTGAAGGAAAAAAAGTGTCTAAATTGGAGATTATTCTTCTGTAAGTGTCAAATATCATCACTTGATAAAACCTGAAATGTAGATCTTTGAAATTTCACCTGTCAATTAATTTTAAATTTTCCTAGCTCTCAAAAGACTTGCCTCAAGATAACAAAGGGGCAAAGCTTAGGACTGCAGGTAGAAAATTTCAATTATTCCTTAGTCTGATATAATTCCTTCTAGATTACAAAATGTCTTTGTCATCACACTTCTGATTTTTGCACCCGTAAAAACTTTCACCAGTACACCATAAGAAAAGCTGTTATCCTGATCTGTAAGGAATTTCAGGTTGCTGTTATGTCTCTCATTTTTCCTCACCTAATTTTCTGTTCCTATATCACAAAAGGCAAAGAGAATTCCAGGTAGAGCAGTGAAGGGAATTTTAGTTGAAGAAATAGGTCTAGTAGGGCCTATTGGAAACCACCCTTGTGAGAAATTGGTAAAAGACTATTTTTATCCTGCTGTGTTGCTTTGTCTTTGATGGTGCTTCATATTTTGTTTTCTTCTGTGTCTCCAGTTAGAGATTGAGGCTTCCTAGGCAAATGTGTAATAAGTAGCAATGTCTCTGGATATACATAAAATTAATCTCATGCAAGTGCAAGTTTTTCAACCTCAGATAAAATGGCAACTCAGTTGCTATAAAACAAATGGAATTGGAATAATCAAAAGAGAAGAAATGAGCAAAGATTGTGCATTTTTCATCTGTGATTAAACATAGCCTGTGGCAATATTAAGCATTTTTGCAACAGTTGTTGTATTCTAATAGCTGGTCAGATCTCCTCTTTTTCAGAATTGTTCAAAAATATAAATGTCTAAGCTCAAGGAGCAGCTATCTCAATTCCTGACCTTACCCTGAGCATTTGGCTTGGTGATCCTGTAGAAATTTTCCACTTCAGAGCAATTTTTTTCTTTCTCAACAGGTGTCTTCACAGACCACCTTTCATTTCTGGCATTTGCCCAAAGTAACTCTTAGGCGTATGGCAACAAAACTTCTGCAATAAATTTCAGGTTTGGTAGTGAAACACTGATAGCTATTTCAGGTTTTACTTTTTTTTTTCCCTTTCAAATGAACAGAAAATTTAAAACATACAGATTCTCAACAGCTTCTTTGTACTGTGATTTTAGTATGTGTTTTCTCAGTTTATATGCTTTATCCTTGTACTCAGTCACAACAGAGGCGATTGCCTTAGGAGACATGAGGTTTTCAGTTGATCCATTTGCCTGACTCCTTGCTTCCTTGCTTGTTCTTAGGGAGTGGAAAGAAACATGAGTGGTCAGCTGTCCATCTTAAAAGATACCTGGGTTTACAGATTTCTTTGTTTGGAACCACATAGAATAACAATATCCTCAACAAACCTCAACACTGTTCCCAAATTGATGCTTCAGGCTAAACAAGTGCAGTGTTAAACTTGCTGCCGTGCAGGTTAACTTTGTAATATTTCTGTGCCATGAGAAGCAGAGGAAGGTCATAAAAATGTGGTAAGTTTTGTAAGCATAGTGTAGCTGAGGACACATGATACTACTCAGAAAATAAACTTCCAGTTCTTCCTAGAAATTGTGGGAGGGTCTCTAAATCTGCATGGCTAAGTGCTAACTGTGGTCTTTGTAATCA